TTCCTAGCTCTCCATGCTTTGTAGATGTGTTCCTGAAGCAGAATGGAGAGCCTTGTTCGGTCGAGCCGTCTCTTCCTGGCTCCGAAGTGGTTGGCGGGTAGAAGGCCGGCAGGTCTCCACAGCATGGGATAAACGCTCCGCAATGACTGCCTCCAGTATCTTACCCAGCGTGGAGAGCAGCGAGATGGGTCTCCAGGACTTGGCTAGAGTGTATTCGCTCTTCCCTGGCTTCTTCAATGGGATGATCTTGGCATTCCTCCACTGGCTGGGGATGTCGCCGTCTCGAAGCGACGTCCGGAATAAATGGAGCACCCTGTCTTTGACCACTGGCCAGAGCTGTCTCCATACCATTGCCGGTAGACCGTCTTCCCCGGGCGCCTTCCATGGCTTAGCGGACAGGACCTTTTGTTCTATCTTCCTCCATTGTTAGGTCTGGCATGTGTACCGGCGCCCGTTGAGGGTCGTTGGCCCTCGTCTTCGATTCTCGCTGGCAAAGGTGGGAAGAAGGCGGTGAGTAACTCCTGCGCTTGTTCTGCTTTACCCTCCGTGATGGAGCCATCGGGTCGGACGAGCGGGGGTATCTTATCGCCCATCGTGCCGCTGCCGGGTTTGCAGGTTACTTCGTTGCTTGCCAGATGTTAGCGTCATCGGGCCAGGAAGTCGTTCCAATGCGAACTCTTCTGTCTGCGGATGGCGTCGTGGTACTCTTTGGCTGCCATCCTGGCTCGTTGTTCGAGCTCTGGTGCTGTTTGCCCAATCCTACGTCGAGATCTCGCCTGGTTTCTCCAAAACGTGTATGTCTGGCGAAGCCGTGGTCAGGTCCGTTTGTTCCACCACCGCTTGGCGTATGGTGAGGGTTTGGCTTTAGGTGTCAGGCCGTAGACTCGCCTCGGGTTACTCGCTGCTCATGAGCCTGTCCGTCTGCTGCTGGACATTGTCCGTCTCCAGGGGATGCGTTCGAGGTTTGCTGCCACCCTAGTCCTAATTTCCGCCCAGGGCGCGTTCTTGAAGAGGAACCTCGTCTCACTGGGACGGTCCTCCACCGAGGTGTCAAAAGCTGTCTCGATTGCTCTGTGGTCTGAGCCATGGTCGCAGGGGTGAATCGCGCATCTGAGTAGTTGGTCTGCTAGTTCTGCAGAGGCTCAGTACCAGGGTCGATTGTGCTCCTCAATGTCGCCTGACTGCCACGTCTTCGTGCCTCTTGGGAGGAGGCTGCAGAGGGGAGTGTTCGTCCATGAGGTTGATGATGCGGTCTCCCTCGCCTTGTCTCCGTGGTGAGACATCGTCCCCTCCCCAAAGCTGGTCGTGGCGGTTGAAATCGCCCGCCAGGATGATATCCGTTCTCGTCCCTGTTCCGTTTCGAAACCTCCTAATCAGTCGGTCAATTTCCCTCATTGCATCTTCCAGTGCTTCGTCACTACCACCCTCCACATACACTGACACCATCAGCACTGCCCGATCTGGGAGCCGAATGCGTGCTGCGGTGAGGTCTGCCGACGGCACTGGAATCTGCTCGACCTCTATATCGCTTCGTACCCATAGCATGCTCCGAATTGGCCACGTGGTTTCTCGTCTTGTCGTTGGTATAAGCTTCGTCCAGTTGTGATGACTCATTGGGACCGTCGTCACCGAGCCTTCGATCAGCCTGGCATATGGTTCGGAGATGGCCAGCACTGCGAAGTCCTTGAGTCCCTCGTCGTTTAGCAGACTCTGCTGCACTTCTCTCCGTTTGCGGACGTTGAGCTGAAGGATCTTAAGCGTCTTGGGCGCCATTCTTCAACCAGCGTAACCCGACAGTTCTTGCTAAATGACTCGTGTGGTCCTCTGCATAGCACGCACTTCAGGACCACGGACTGACACGTCTTGTGGTGGTGACCCTGTTCCGCACACCTTCCGCATCTTTGCGGCTTTTTGCAGGCGAAGGCCTTATGGCCGATCTCCTGGCATCTGTAGCACTGGATTGGGCCTTCCCGGGGCGCGAAAACGGTCGTGTAAGCGGATTCTCCGGCGAGATGGAAGTAACGCCCGTCTAGAAGTCGCCTTGCTTCGCTGCCCTTCGTCACGTAGACAACCATCGAGCCGTAGGCCTTGCTTGTATCCTTCCTGCTGAGCCAGGCAATCTTCGCAATGTTGACGTCGTTCTCTGTCCCTAGCGCCTCTGCGGCTCCCGGCAGGATGTTTCCGTCCGCATCGAGGACCGCTGTTCGGTTGGCATTGTCTACCCTCACCGGGTACAACTGGTCTCTCAATACCCGCACTCCAGGAACACTGATCTTCACTGCCGCTTCCTTGACGAGCTGGACCTCGCCTTCGTCCCTGCAAATTACTCTGACTCGGTCCGGGTTTCGGGCCTCCTTCACAACCGCAGCGCAACGCCAGTCTCCCATGCTTTCCTGTGCCCTGGCCTCTGTCTCGATTGCCTTTCTAATGTCCGCCACCTGGACGTTTCCCTTCTCTTTCTCCTCCACCCTAGATGTATCGATCGTACAGAACAACGTGTCGGTAAAGGATGAAGGCGTCGTGTTTCGCGAGGAGAGGGTGCGCACACCGCTTGGCTGGCTTGATGGTGGGGTGCGAGCGACTTCGGCGTATGACCCTCTTGCGCTTGGTTGGGACGAAGCCATGGCTACCGGGTGGCGTTGAAGGGTATCAATCTGATCCCGCGCTTGTCTCAGTTCTTCAGAAAGCTGGGTCCTGGTGTCTGCAAGTTGGCGATGTAGTTCTTGAATCGCGTCGTGCTGCTTGCAAATCACCTCGCGTAGTTCGCCAATCGTGTTTCGCTGCTCGGTAATCATTCGGTACATTTCGTCTCGTTGTTCGTTGATCGCCTCCAGGAGCATCTGTATACCTGACTTCCCCGTCTCGATCCGGCTGTTGGCTCCATATAAAATCCCAGACGCGCGTGCTCCTCGCGTCGTAACCGCCCGCGTGGTCTCGCTCGCCGCTCTCCTCGACGTGGTAGCCACGTCCTCGAGCGATTGCATGGCTTCGCGAGCTTTCGCGCTCGGTTTCAACGCGCGGCTCGGTCGTCTCGGCGAAGGTGGTTGGTCGGCCACCTCGACCACGATTTGGGGCTGCGCCTCCGCCGCCATCTTGCAGTCCCTCGGCAGTGCCGCCCGACTTTCACAAAAGCTTCCTGGTCTCGATCGCCTCTCGCCGATGAACCTCTCCCTTATTTTTCGAATGCTCGTTCCGGCAATCTGAAGTTTTTCAGTCTTGGGTTTTTTCCTACCAAGGGCAGTGGCGCAGCCCACCTATTCAATCTATTAGCCCACATGAAGTATCCACTCAATGGTCACCAAGCTTACTGCCACATCGGTCGAGTGATGAGCCGCCTGACCAGTCACGGCCATCTTCCTCGGCGAGGCTCCGCTCCCAAGACCAGAAGACCTTGATTCGACCCTCGTGCAGACCAAAAATACCTACATTGCACGCCGCCCAGCTGTGGCTAGGGCCAAAGTTACGCCGATGAAGTGGCTGCCCACCCAATGTAAATTGGATTATATGACCTTTCATGAGAAGCCACCCCGTCGGTAAATGACCTCCGAATCTCATCCTCCTCGACGGTGATTCAGTGGCCACCAAGTAATCACCAGTCCAACTCATCAATACACTGCTCAGATGCAATTCACACTCGTTACTGCGGCTGTGGTAGCCGGCCTTTTTGGCAGCTGCATCTGCGAGGATATCACGGGCTATTCGGAACTTGCCAACGATCTGTTTGCGCCTTTGTCGTCAATGAGCGATACATCTCCAAACTTGACCCGGAACCTCTTCGGCCGGCAGAAGCAGTGGTGTACCGCAGGGTCTCCCTACGTAATTTGCCCAACCCCGAAAACATGCTGCAACGCGAGGGACAACTGGTGGGTATTGGGCCCAGAATGGAACCCGGCATATTCACTGATCAGATATTTCTCTTATCGCCCCTCTAGTACACCGACTGGGTGTTGCCCCAAGACTGCTCAGACGTGCGGTGGGAAGTTCTGTGCCCGGCCCGGTTCTATTTGTTGTGGGAATACCGTTTGCAGGCAAGGGGCAAGCTGCAAGTTGTCTGCCGGAGGTCAAGATGTCTGCTGCAGAAGTGCCACGGATGTTGCATGTGGCGGTTATTGTACGAGCACCTCGACTATCGACCCGCCTCTAGATATTGCTCTAACACATCCAAACCGCTAGGCTGCCCAGCGGGCTACTCCTGCGTTGGGGGTGGGCGATGCCGGAGGATTCGGACATCCATCTCTCGATCTACGTCCATCTCTCGATCTACATCCACCACTCGATCAACGACAACGTCGCGGTCTACTATTACGCGCAGCGCGGGAAGCACGCTTCGCTCTACAGTTACTTCCACTAAAACAAAGTCTACTGACAAGTGCACTGCGACGGGTTTAGCTCCTAGGGCCACCGGGGGATGGGACTACATCAAGGTACAGGGCGAGACTAACTGCGTTCCGGTGCTCGACTTCTTTTGCGTCGACGGTCTGTTCGACCAGATGTGCACCAGCATGTGTCAAGGGATCCGCGATCAGCGGAGGCACAACCCCCAGAATGTTCTCAGCGACCGGGCCATTCTGTTGCACAGACGCATGGGGCGAAACGAGGCGGCGGCTTGCCGAACAATGGGTTGCCCGCGTAAGTTTTGGTACAGACCAGGTGGATATTTCTTTTTACGGAGGTTGACCATCTATTGCAGAACGCCTAACTTGGAGCAATCTCTACCAACAATACTTCACCATGCAATGCGACGAGTTCCCACCAGGTACGGCTTTTACCCAACCACCACGGATCCATATCACGCAGCCCTTTGGGCACTAACTGAGTACTCCAGCATCTTCCATGGAAGGCGGCGGGCCTACAGTAACATGCATCTCTTGGTACCAAAACAACCTCGGCGGTGTCTACCTCCGCTATTTCTACGAGGATCTAGGGCTGAAACAAGACGACCCATATATCATCCGTATGGACACCTGCAACTTCCCCGCCACCCCGGTCAGCTACCCGCAAGGATCCGAGCCTCGCCCCCATCCCAGGCGCCAAACCGACGACGGCAAACAACAACAGACGGTCCACGCCGCCCACGAACCTCTCTGGGTCCGAGATCCGCGCACAAAATCTGAAGGCTACGTGCTCATACCGCTCGAGGCCGGCGGCCCGGGGACGTACAACGCCACGCTGTCGCTGTCCAACCTAGCGCGTTTGGAGGACGTGTCCATCGTGGACGGTTCCGGCGGCCTGGTCTGGGAGAGCAACGCAGCCGGGTCGTCGTCGTCGTCGTTTACCAACGGCCAGCGAAGCTTGCAGTACAAGGTCCAGGACGATACCCAGGATCTGTTCGTGGCGGCAAAGGCGGCCACGAGCGTGTCCGTCAGCGCGGTGTTTACAGCTACAAATGTTGCGCAGGCTACGACTGTCCCGGACTCAGCGGCATCAAGATCCATGTGCGGCGACGGTGTGTATGCGAGAGGTTTGCTAGTTGGTGTTGTGGTTGGTGTTGTGGTTGGCATCATGTAGGCTTGAGAATGCTTTTTAGGGGTAATGTTAGTAATAAAACTAGAACACCCACCTCTAGATATGGCATTTGGCCCTCCAAATGCTCCCAAGTATGCGTAGGTAGGCTATGCGATATACGTTGTTACTCCTCAAAAAGGTAACACCCGGCGTTTAAAACTGACCACGTATAGGTCAGAATTACCGAGGGCCTGGACCAGCAGGCGAGATAGTACTTTTAGGATACCTTCCAGGTTCGACTGACCGGGTGGTGCCCCGGCCAAGCTATAGGCCCTACGATATACTACAACCGTATACCCTGCGAAGGGAGGCGGTAGCCACAGCGATGCAGGTAATACAATCCTGTTGAAAGGTAACTATACTACACTCGAGATGCTGTAGTTATAGGCAGTACAGATTCCACATATTAGTCCTAGCTCAGCACGTCTTTAGACTCCTTACATGCTTTAGGTATCTGGGGTGGCCGCTACGTGACCACACCCCCGGACATTAAACGCAAATAACAACAACAACACTCAAAATGAGGGATTCGACGCCTTGGCCGAGGGCCAAAAGTAGTATGGATACCTAATAATCAGATTATCACATTTGTAAGGTGCCCATCTGATCCGACTGATCTGAAGGAATGGCCGATCTAAATCGACTGGATTGCTCTGGAATAATAGATCTGATCTACAATTGAATCTACCTAATCTTTGAGCAGCACTGCCCTGAAGGGTCCTCATCATAATAACACATCCCATTAATTATTCTACATACAGGTTTACTTCATCTCCATCCATCCTCTTGGTGTTACCATTTAACCTTTGCCCCCCCCGTGAAATGAACCTGAAGAGAAAATAGGTACGGAAAGGGAAAGATCGTTATTAAAACATGACGAACAGGGGCTGTCTACCCGAAACTGTTCGTTCGCAGCAGCCTGCGAATATTCTTTTGGAGTCCCATCAACGTTCTAAACCCCATTCTACAACCGCGCATGCCCTCCATATAGCCATCATCATCGTCATCATCGCCATCGCCATCCGCAAACGGGCCGACCGGCACGCCAGAGTCATACCCTTCATGACTCAGCATCGTGGCAAGGAGCGCCTTGGTAGCCGGGTGCCCAAACATGACCTCTCCGCCGCGGTTTATGGTATCGGTCCTTCCCTCGTCCCCGTCCGCCCCGTGTGCTACCCGCGGCCCGAACAGGGCGCTGTCGATCTGCTCCAACATATGCGTCATGATTTCCAACTGGATCCGGATTCCCAGAACGTTGAGCGCCGGCCGACCACCCGCTTCATCGGCCCCATAGATAGCGCGAGGTTGGACCAGCCCCGGCCCCGGCTTCGGCCCCGGCACCGACCCGCGTCTTGTCCACGCCCTCTGCCGGATTTTCGCCGCCCGTAATGGTTCGTAGACGCGCAGCGCTTCGTAGATATGTGAAAAGATGGCATGGTAGACGGACAGTAGCCCGACGTAGCAGGTGAGAATCGAGATCACGATGGGCAGGTCCACGAAGGATGATGTGTTTCTGGGGCCGATGCCCGCCTCCCTTTTGTCTCCATTGATAGCGGTGTCCGCCGCTCGGATGATGCTGAGCAGCTCGATAAGACGTTCGGACGTAAACAAGACTCGGTGCACTACGGTATTGCCGGGCCCCTGCCCGGTTCGAGTGCGACCCGAGAAGCTGCCGTTCTCCGGGAACATCAGGGCATCGGTCACATCCGCGGGTGTAATACACTGCAGCTCGTTGAGAAGCAGCCCGTGGATCTCGAGTAGGCGCTGACTGCATTCCTCGCGCGGCCCGCGTTCTGGTGCCGATTTGCTGGATCCCGTGCTGGCTTTCTCGACATCTGTCAGAGCAGGCAGCGTTGAGATGGTGTCGTCTTTGGGTGCCATAGTCCCGAAGCACGATAAATCATTCGCAAAGTCATCGTATCGCGGCGGAGGCTGGTTGTGGGGAGGGATCGGCGTACGATCGCGAATCTCGCTATCTCGTATCAAGCTGCCATGGTCCGGCGGACTCTGTATAGGCGTGGGGGAGCTGAGTACCCCGTTGCTGCCCAGATCGATGAACTCGCTACCGCTGAAGTCGAAGTTACTAACGTCTAGCATCGCGGCATCCGCGACGCTGATCTCAAAAGGCGCGGTATCCGTGCCGGACAAAGTGTCGTCATGGATTAGACCTGGCACGTTGCGTGGTGTAGAGGCAGTCGGACGGCGTGCGGGTGAGGGTGCTCGTTTTGCTGGACTCGCTGCCTGATCTGCTTCCCGAGCAGATCTGCGTGGCACTGGTGTATCACCGGTTTTGGCTGCTGTAAAAGCCCCGGAAATGGTCTGGACCGTCTGGCAGGGAATGCACGCCTTGAGGCATCGTTTGCAGGGCCCAAGCGGCACGGCAACGCCACCATTGACAATAACGGAACTCCGTTCGCACCTCAGCTTGTGTCTATGGCAACGGTCGCAAGCCAGCCGACGGGATCGGGCAGCGCTGAAGAAGGTTTCCTCAGCTGAGGCCATGCTTAGGTCCTGAGTCTCCTGCCACCTGCCGCGCAACCAACAAGAGGAAGTATGGCAGCAGCAACTGTGCCACAAGGTATCACCGTCTTCATATGGCCACCATTTGTTGGCGAGCTGAATCCTTCGGGGATGCGGCGCTATGGGAGGGGGCGGGGGGCGGGGGCGGCGGTGCTAGCCGGTAGGTGCGGACCATCGCGCGGCCCGGACCATCAAGCGGCCCTGACATTGCGCGGCCCGGACCAGTCATGGGTCTTGCTCAGGCGGCATGCATGCACGAATATTCGTACCTCTACTTACAGTCAGAAAATAGTCCATCACCACTGTGACCAGAATCACTGTATCACACCTCCGCATTCATCCCTTGGCGAGACAGCACCACTGGCAATGTTCAAGACATGCGAGAAAAATATAAGAAGATAGGTAGAGCTTTACGTTGAACACAAAGATTCAAGTTGTACTTTCAATTTTGCCATGCGTAGTAGATAGTTCCATTGCCTTCAGTGTTGACCCCTAGTCCTCCTTACTACGTATACAATTTCCTACATCCTGGTAGTCCGCATAAATGTAACACTTTATTTAGGCACTAAACCTGGTTGTAGCAAAAAAAAGACTTATTGCCTGGGCTGAGATTTCGAGACACTTGCAGTTTGTCATCCCAAAGAGGCAAGGAAAACCCCCTTTGCGTTCGTCCACGTCTGTGCTGCATGACGCAACTTGAATGCGTTCCCACACAAAGCTCCTTCTCGGTGTAGAGTTCTGGCGAATCGGACAAGGCCCTCTTATCGAAGGCATACATCACGTTGGTATTGTACCGAAACTGACTCGGGAAATCCGAAACACTCTCGTTGGCATTACCAATGCATACTGCCAAAATACTAAGCTCCGTCCAATCTCCTCTTCTAGCCAGGCGCGGCCGCAGGGATCGTCCGTCACGAACAGAATGTTGTCGATATAAATGAAGACCAAAAGTGACTCCGAACATGTACATAACACTAATCCATTGACCATTGAATCTGTGGAAATGTCTTAGGGCGGAGGCTATGATCATCAGCGCGATCAACATCCTAAGCGCCGCCTTCCACCGATCTTCTCTCCTAATAGGTAGGTACATAGGCAGTGACAGTCGTCTTTAGTGTCCCACCCACCGCCTGCGTGCAGTTGCGCATCGCCAGAGTGCTGCATTGAGAGATCGGTAACGAATCGATGACGTGGGCGACAACTTCTAATTGGGCAATTCATCGACATTCTAGCCAAGATCGAACCCACGGCAAGCTGAGGCTCCCGATGGCACATATCCCGCGTCGACCCCCGTGAATTGTTATTTGATATGTTATGTAACGTGTATTATAAGCGAGCGACGCATATAAGCGAGCGACGCACTGTTCCCCGCCACGCGTCTCCTCTTCCTGTTCCACCAGATCCCACCACAACCAGCCATGCGTAGCCCCCCAAGAGAAGCCAGGCTTCGCATGGCCGTTGAAGCCATCGGAAAGAACAAAAATCTCAGTATCCGGGCCGCAGCCAGACAGTACAACGTTCCGGAAGCAACGATTCGCCACCGATGTACTGGCCGGTCTGCACGACGTGATTTACCAGCCAACTCGCGTAAGCTTACGGACCTGGAAGAGCGTACGATAGTTCAATATATACTGGAACTGGATGCGCGCGCATTTCCCCCCAGACTGCGTGGTGTGGAAGATATGGCCAACCACCTGCTCCGCGAACGCGATGCGCCCCCTGTCGGCAAGCTCTGGGCCCACAACTTCGTCAAGCGCCAGCCACAGCTCCGTACGCGTCGTACGCGTAGATATGACTACCAGAGGGCCAAGTGCGAAGATCCAAAGGTCATTGGCGAGTGGTTTACGCTTGTACAGGACGCTAAGGCCAAATATGGGATTGTTGATGACGATGTCTATAACTTCGACGAGACTGGGCTTATGATGGGCATCATCTTCGCGGGTATGGTAATTAGTTACGACCTCAGACGGCCGTAGCAAGGCTAAACTAGCCCAGCCTGGTAACCGCGAGTGGGCGACTGTAATCCAGGACAGGCATACGGTCGCCTGATCGACGAGCTGATGCGCGCACACATCAACCATATCACCAAGCTCGAGTTCCTTTGTGCCTTTCGCGAAGCCTTCTTTGCTTCCATGACAGAGAAGAATATTCAGGGTGGGTTTTCAGGGGCCGGTATCGTACCATTCGATCCAGAGAGGGTGCTTTCTAAGCTGGATGTCAAGCTTCATACACCAACACACCCAGACTCCAGGCCTGGCACTGCACAGCCTTGGGCCTCTAAGACCCCGTATAATGCCCAGGAAACCCGCTCGCAGTCAGACTTCATCAAGACCCGGATTTCCAGCTACCAAAATAGCTCCCCAGCTTCGGTGTTAGTTGCAGTTGACCAGCTTACCAAAGGTGCAACGGCTGTAATGCACCAAGTGGCTCTTCTTCAGTCAGAGGTCTCTTCGCTCCGTAAGGCCAACGAACCACTAAGCAAGCGCCGGAAAGCCAAAAGAACACGCATACAGCTTGGAGGGCCACTTACTGTACAAGATGCACAGGATCCACTGGACCAGAGGGATGTGGGTAAGGGGGCACTGCAGGAAACACAGCCGGATAGTAGTGGTGCAGGGGGGGCTCGTGCGAAGGTTCGGCGCTGTAGTAAGTGTGGCAAGCCTGGCCATAATGTGCGTACTTGAGAGGAGGCTGCAGAGGTCTCTGATGCAGCTGTTTCCGATGTAATTGTAGTTAGTTGCTAGGGTTGTTGTGTTGTGATTGTAGATAGTTGTTGCAAGGTGGGAGAAAGCGCGTCGCTCGCTTATATGCGTCGCTCGCTTATAATATACGTTAGGTCGTATAATGACTTCTAATGCAAGGTCTGAGCATCTATATATGTAATAAGCACCACGTTATGGCGCCACCACCGCCTTGTCGGATCTCGGCACACACCGGCGCCGTTCCCGTTCGGAGTTCCCGTTCGGAATAACCGGACTCCCTAATTGGAAGCAGGGCCGTGTTGCCCCGAGGGCCAGCGCCGAGTGCAAAAGCTCCCACCTATGCAGCGCCCCCCAACTGTCCCTTTTCGTTGGAACTATTCACCGAATTTGTCGCAGTGCCGATCTGTGCTATATGCAGTGTCACCCCCGCAAGGTTCGCCAGACCGACATGACAGGGAGCTGAAACCGGAGCCAGCTGAAGAGGCGGCACACAGTCACGTCAAATTTGTGGACATTTGGGCCGATGGTAGCGACTTGACACTTGCAGAAATTCATGTAGAATGGGCAAATGATCGTCCTTCATTGACGCATATTGCAGTCGCACAAGCGCAAGAAAGGAGCACCCGACCGGGAACGACTGGGCATCTCGGACGTACTCCGGAAGTATTATGAGACAATCTCAGAGACATCAGCAGAGTTGTCACGGCGAGTTGGCATCGGGGTCAGCGCCCTAGAATACCGCATGCATTAGGTACCTAACGAGTACAAAGGAGCTGGTTGGAGAGGAAACGAGACATCAAGTGGGCCGCGCGGCTGCGAGAGCCACACCGGCCCCGACATGGACCTCTGCTGCCTGGAACCAGACCCGTTGCATGTACGAAGTATACAAACCAAGACCCTGCACCCACGCTCTCGACTGTGCCTTGTCTCCGGCTCCCGCCTAGACCGCCTAGGGTGTACATCGCCAAGCACGAAAAGCTGCCATGGAAGATTATGCTGGCTGCGTGTACGAACTACGAAGTACCTGTAGGGCAAAGTACATGTACATCACTGCAGTGCAATCAGCTAATTACATAAAATTGGCGCACAGCATACCTAGTTATGTCACTGCAAAGCTGGTCTCAGGGCTGTCTTCACGTACTTCGGGGATCCAACGCTTGGACAGGTAGGATCTTCACCCACGGCCCCCACAACACCACAACCAGCATTACCACAAAATGTCAGCCACGCAGTTGAATTGCTGTGTAAAGGCATGAAAATCACAACGAATAGGGTAAAGCGAGGCTATTCTCAGTATACAAAACCATCCAAAACCCTCCCACAGTTACTGGAAGATGGCGTAATCCATAGGCATCTCCTTCTCCATGTGTACAATCTTCAAAGCAACCGTGTTACAGAGAGGGTTGCATACAGCATACAGACGGCCGGGCGGTGCACACGGGCAGTGCCCCGGACCAATCATTAAGAACAGACGGCTGGCCAATAGGGCCGGCCTGAGCATGCGAGATGCTCAGTAAGAGCCGCGCCAAGTAGGTAATTGGGCAAGTCATCATATTGCTCAGTAACGGAGCCGTAAGCACTCTGAACACCAGAGGCTCAGAGTGATCAGCGCCGGGGATCTGAGTACTTTGATCACCTGGGGATACCAAGAATACAGTCACTCGTTCCGTTCTAGAGAGCTCTGGGAGTTCTCTAGTTAGTAATCACAACTGCAGTTCCCTACAAGCTCTGGCAGGAAGTCTACCTCTACCATTGAGAGAGTCTTTAACTATTCTGCAGCCTTTGGCTACACCGAACCTAAGCATTGACCTTTGAGAGATCAACATCGTCCGATACTGACCGCTAACAGGACTGGTCCAAGGACAGGGTCCTTACAGTGCCCCGATCGCTTATAAGATAGGTACATTAACTACTTAAAACATAGTTAATACAGTACAAACAAACAGTCTTCTCCGGATTGAGAGAGAGAGTATTATCAATATTACAGTAGAACAAATTACGAAAAATGGAGGAGATATAATATCAACAAGCTGGAACCTAAAATGAGCGATACCTATATAGTATACGTCTCTGTAGAAAGAGCAATATTCTATGTAATATAGTTAGGTATAACTAGTTATAGAGTCCAATGATGATGTTATGCATACACACATCCCACGGGTCGTTACTAAGGTACCCCAAGTATACATTCTTCCTCCCAGAGAAAGAAGGGCTGGGCTAGTAGCGATAGTAAGAGAAACAATTAGCCTATGCAGATGTCGTTTTCAGCGCTAGAATCTTTGTTTTTTTGCTCCTACGTGAATAGGAACTTCGCTTGTCATCTCTTTAGGAACAGTGCAACTACCTAATTTTGATAAACGAGAAAACTAACGGATGCTTGTTGAGTTTATATTTAACTAACATTGAACTCAAAAGAGACAAACGAAACACGAGGAAACTAAATCAGCAAATATGACCCGATCTCACCCTTTTCATCCCCACCTCTCCCTTCTTACACCGTCGAGCTCACCAACTTCGGGAAGGCCCACCTCACACCACCCCCGGCTGCAGCCTTCAGATACGCCGCCAACAGCGGATTCAAGCCCGCTCCCTCGGCTTGCGCAACCCATTCCTCCAGCGGCAGGGTCTTCAAAACGAACCCCGCGGCCTCCAACTCGCCCATATCCGCCACGGTAGACAGCGGGTATACAATCTCGCCCGCCTCGTACTGATACCTCACCCGACCTGCAGGGCCTCCCTTCTCGTGTCCCTCCTCCTCCTCCTGCTCCTCCTCCCTAGCGGCCACCACCGCCTTGACAATCGCCGCCGCCACCGTGTGCACCGAGATCAGGTCAAAGTAGCCCTTCCAATCGCGGCTCTCGGGCACAGCCTGGAGCCGCTCCACGTACCGGAACAGGTTGCCCATCAGGTCGACGTCGCTGGCATCGTTGCCCAGGATGCTCGACGGCCGGTGGATGGTGACGGGCAGGCCGTGCGCCTGCGCCACCTGCTCCAGGTGCCGCTCGCTGACCCACTTCGCCGCGACGTAGCCGCCGGCGGACGACGAGGAGGAGGGGGAGGATACCGCGGGCGGGTACGCGGCGACCGAGACCTCGCCCACCTCGTCGAGCGGCGTCAGCTGCGTGACGGCCGCCGACGACACAAAGTGGAAGGGGATGCGGCGGCCTTGGCGCTGCGCGAGCGCGGCCAGCTGCTGGGTTGCAGCCACGTTGGTTGGCCGTAGTGAGATGTATGTCTTCATGAAGGAGACGTCGGCGCCGTTGTGGAGGACGGCGTCGGCGGTGGAGAAGACCCGCTCCGTGTCGGCGTCGCTGAGGCCCAGCCCGGCAAGGCTCAGGTCGCCCGGGAATACCTCGACGCGTGGGTCGTTGAAGATGCCGGGGAGCTCCGCCGGCTGTTTGCGCACTGCCACGCAGTAGACCTTCTCGATGTGGCTTGTGCGGAGGAGGCGCTCGAGGAGGTGCCGGCCGAGGAATCCCGTGGACCCGGTCAAGACGACGACCTTGGGCGGGTTAGCAACGGCGGGTCCGCTTTGCTTCTTCTCCGTGGTAGAGTTGTAATATGCGTCTTGGAGAAGCCCGGCTTCGGCTTCCCAGTCGATGGGGGCGGGGGTGGTGTCTGAACCCTGCTGGGTGGATGACCCGGACCCGCTGGCGACGAGTGCCGCCATGGTTTCCAGGGTCGAGGCCTGGAACAGCTCTTGCACCAAGGGCGCCACGCTGAATTGCTCCCTCAGCAGAGCCTGGAGCTGGACGAGAAGAAGCGAAGAGCCACCGACGTTGAAGAAGTCTGTCTTGGGACCGATATCTCGTCCCGCCAGGAGACCGTTCGGAATGACTTGCTCCCATAGCTGCTTGATGAGATGTTGCATGGCAGGCAAGCCCTCGGACTCTTCGGCCGGGGTCTGAGTTGTCAGCGCAGTAGCCACTGGCAGCTCCCGGAGGGCGCGCCGGTCGAGCTTCCCTGAGACACTGAGGGGTAGGGCCGCCACGGGTACGATCGCCGAAGGGGCCATGTACCGCGGGAGGCTGAGACGGCTCTGCAGCTGCTGGAGCCAATCGACGTGCGCCGGCGTTGAATCTGCGCGGTCTTGCATCACCGCATGTGCCACAAGGTATTCGGTGCCCGAGGCCTCGTCGGTCCGAACCGAGACCGCTGCCTCTCGGATAGCGCCCTGGGAGTCGTTGATGACGGCGCGCTCAACCTCCTCTAGCTCGATGCGGATACCGCCAAGTTTCACCTGGGTGTCTCCGTCGATGCGCCCTTCCAGGATCAACCCTCCGTCAGGGCTCAGTCTGCCGCGATCGCCCGTCGGGTGCATGGTGGTCCAGCCCCGGGCCACAAACGCGGGACTGGCATATGGGTTCGCGATGAATCTCTGCGCGGACAGCTGGTGGTTGTTCAGGTACCCCAGCCCGACACCGGCGCCGCCGACGCATACCTCGCCCGTAAGGCCAACAGGGAGCGGCTTCATATCGTCGCCGAGGATATAGACAGCAGAGTTGGCGCATGTCTTGAGTGGGGTGGTACGGGCCAATTCTTGCCCATCTTCTTCTTGATACGGCACAACCGTTGTGCTGCACCGGAAGGTCGCTTCCGCGGGCCCGTAGTCGTTGACCAAGGTAAGCTCGGGTCTGTTCAGGGACCGGAAGCCGCTGACGACCTGGTCGCTCAGCTTCTCGCCGCCGCAGAGGGCGAGCCGCCATTTATCGTTTTGCTTGAGCTGGCTCGCGCCGTGTCCGATGAGGTGGACGTACTCGGTGGGCGTGGCGGCGGTCACGGTGACGCCCGCAATGAGCATGAGCTTCGCTAGCGCTGCCGGGTCGCCGCGGACTTCGCGGGGAGCAACGACAAGAGTCGATGCGGTGGTCAGAGCTAGAAGTGACTGGAAAAGGGATATGTCGAAGCTGAAGGCGGTTTGCTGGAGGATGGTCTCGCTGCCCTCTTGAACGGCGAGCTCGGACACAGGCCGTCTCGATGCGGCCGCACAGTGCTGCGTGGGGTAGGCAGATGCCCTTGGCCGTGCCTGTAGATCCGCTGGTGTACACCAAGACGGCAGTACCCGCCGGCACCGCCTCGATCGGAAGGCGGTCTTCTGACGGCGGCAAACTCGCCACGTTTCTGACCTTGGCCGTGTCATCCAACGAGAAGGAGCCAATGTCGACCTCGGTGGCGTCGTCTACGAGGATGCACGAGGGCTTGGCCTCGCCCACGATAGCCGCTAGCTTCGCCGGCCCGACGCGGGGATCCAGGGGGACGTAGGTCAGCCCAGCCTTCAGTACGGCGAGAATCGAACAAATCGCGGCAGGGGTGGGGTGCTGGAGAACCCCAACCACGTTGCTCGCTCTCACCTCGCGCAAGCCCTGCACAATGCCATTGACGCTGGCTCCCAGCTGGGCGTAGGTCAAGTCGGTGCCTTGACCGTCCGTGAGCGCGAGCTTGTCCGGGTGCGCCTGAATCATCTCGTCGATCCTGTGCGAGACCGTGGGTGCCCACGCCAAATCCAAGATGGGGCCGTTCGCCAGCTCCACCGCCTGCTCGATGGCCGTCTGTCTGTGAAGGGGCGGTTTGCTGATGCGCGATATTGGGTTGGCCGCAAAGCCTTCCATCAGGCTGAAGAAAGAGTCCAACAGGACCTCGGCGCTGGCCGCGTTGTACAACGACTGCTGCACCGAGAGCATGACGTTGGTCTCTCCACCAGGGTTCTCCACGACGTCTACCGCAATGTCGTAGGCGAGCTGGCCGCCGCTGACGAGCTCGCCCTCGCATTCGCAATCGCAGAACTCGCGGGCCTCGCTCACGCCCTGACGGTAGTTCATGAACACCTGGAAGAGCGGCGGGTGCGAGGACGAGCGGGGCACATCGAGCTCGTGGAGAAGCACGTCGAACGGCACCCGCGCGTTGGCAAAGGCGCGCTGGTACTTGGTGTGCATCTCTCGCAGGGCGTCGCTGAACGGCTGGGTCCGGTCGCACGGCACGTTCAACGGAACGAGGTTGAGGTAGAGCCCGATGCTCTCGAGCACCTCGGCTCTCCTCCGGTTTGCGTCCGCCAGGCCGATGCAGAGGTTGTCGACGTCCACGTAACGGACGACCAGCGCCTTGAGCACGGCGAGGTAGAAGGCAAAGACACCCGCCCCGAACTTGCGCGCGGCACTTTTGATGGTGGCAGACAGATCGGCCGGGATGCGCCGCTCCACCCGCAAGGTGGCGTACTGGGCCACGGCCGGGCGCGAGGCCCTTTGCGAGAGCGGGAGCAGGGGCAGAGGCTCGGGCAAGTGCGCAAACTCGGCCTTCCAGAAGTCAAGCTCGGTCTTCCACTTCCCCAACCGGTACTCGTCGCGCTCGAGGATGGAGAATGCGGGATACTGCGCCACGCCGGGCGTGAACTCAACGCCCCTGTACGCCTTCTGAAGGTCGTTGAACAGAACCTCGAAGCTGATGCCGTCCATGTTGATGTGATGGTAGCCAAGGATGAGAAAGTGCTCGGTGGGAGAGAGGGTCAGCACTTGAAGCCGCATCGTCTCGCCGGCCTCTAGATCATAGACGTGACGCTGCACCGCCTCGTACGCCGGGGTGACGTCGTCAGCGTCGGAAATGTCCCGGTGCTCGAGCACCAACACCGTCTCCTTGAGCACGGCCTGCACAGGCTCGTTGCCTTCTCCTACGCGGAATGCGGTCCGCAATGCCTCGTGGTGGTTACCTACGGCCTTGATGGCTCGTGCTAGGCGCTCCATGTCCGGCCGGCCGTGCATGCGAACCACGCTGGTGATGTTGAAAGCACTCTGATCCGGCAAGAAGTGCCTCAGGAACCAGAACCTGGCCTGGCTGAATGACAGGGGCACAGATCGGGCGAGGCCGGCGTCTGGGGACGAGGCCACCGGCTCTTCTGAATCCTCGGGGATAGGCGTCTGTTCGAGGTCGCTCGCGTCGACCCCCGCAGGTTTCGAGATAGGGGAGCTCGGCGCGGTGCTGCTCAAGATGGTTGAGTCGTGGCCGTTGGATGCCTCCCGCAAGGACCCAGAATCCCACGACGAGCCTTGGTCCAGCGAGGTGTCGGCCACGTCGACTACAGTAGAAGGGCGGCGGTCGCCGCCGCCGTGGCCGGATACGAGGTCTAGCGGGGCGGCCCGAGGACTCTTCACCTGATCGGGCTGCTCTCCGGAGTCTAAGAGCGCAAGAGAGGCTAGGGCACGCTCTTTGACAAGCTCGAACAGCGCTCCAGCGGTCCCGCTGTTGAGGACTTCGAGAACGGTGATATCGGCGCTCAATTCTTTGAGCACCCAAGACCGGATCTCAACGGCGACAAGGGAGTCCATGCCGAGGTCGTCGAGGGCGGCGCTCAAGACATCCCGGTCGGGAGCGATTTGCAGGACAGCCCTGAGCTTGCTTGTGTAGGCATCTTTTTGTTCCAATTGTGTTAGCTGGGGTTTCCCACGAGAGAGAAAGACACACAGGAAGAGATAGAGAGAGAGAAACAAAGAAAAAAAAACAATAGAGTATCAAAAGCTTTTCCCTACCCTCCAAAATCTCGGACGCATCCTGGATCGTCTTGACGTCTTCAAGCTGTTTCTTGAGCGAGACATTGCTCGACTTGGCGAGCTTAGCAGCCGCCGACGCCACGTGGGCTTGGACGAGGTACTGGAACTTAGGATTAGTAGCCCATGTAACGTTCTCGTCGCGCGACGACAGCATGCGCAGGCCGGTTGTAATCTCGACAGCCTCGGTCGAGTCCACGCGGCTGGCGGCGACGCCCTCGGCAAAGATGGTGAGGAAGTCCTGCTCGCTGAGCCAGTTGTTGCCGACCTCCTGCAGGAACGTCTGCTGTTGGTGGTTGAGCTCGCGCGTCACGTAGCCGTTGCCGAGCACCGCGCCGATGTTCACGGCCGCCGCCGGGACGCCGCGCTTCCTCCGCTGCATGGTCATCGAGTTGAGGAACATGTTGGCTGCTGCGTAGATGCCTTGTCCTTTGTTGCCGGTGATGACGACCACGGATGAAAGGTATACAAACCAGTCCAGGGGAGCATCGTAGAAAATCTCGTCCAGGTGAATGGCACCGTCGACCTTGGGTCGCAGCACCTTGTCCATCTTCTCGACCGTGACCTCGGCAAACATGGAGTCGTGGAGGACCATGGCACCGTGAGCGACACCACCGATGGGAGGCATTGTGGCCGTGATGGTGCGGTATGCAGCCTGGACCGCATCGCGGCTGGTGATGTCGTTGGGGAAGGCCCTGACAACGGCGCCGAGCGCCTCCACGCCTGCGAGCCAGCGGGGGTCGAGCTTGGGATTGCGACTGGTCAGGACCAAGTAGCGGGCGCCGCGCTCTACCATCCAGCGGCAGAGCGACTGGCCGAGTCCTCCGGTGAGCCCAACCAGCCAATACGTCTTGTCGGGAGAGAAGGTGATGGTGGTGACCAGAGGCTGGATGCGCGCCGGTAGTGTAGGACGGCGCGCCCAGTCGACCAGGCAGACCTGGTTGGCAGCATCACCGGGGACTACTGCCGCTTGGGACAGCGACGTTGGGTCCGCACGTAGCACCCCGGCGAGGTCAGTCGACCGTTGATCGACTTTGACATGAGCCCACGCGGCCCTCAGCACGGACGGGACCTCACAGTCGGCCAGCCCGAGCAGGGTTCGCTCCGTTATAACCGCGCCTGGGCGAGTAAGGGACTGCCAGTCTTGGAAGTCGCAGCGGGTAGGGAGACAGGAGGCAACGGTACGGGCGAGGTCTGCGCGGTCCGAGAAGTTCGCAAGCTTATCCACGTGTGCGGGCAACTTTGACTTGAGCGAGCGCACCGACTCCCGCGGGTGAACGGGTATGGTGCCGGGAACCCCGGACGCTGCCGCCTTGGAAGCTAGACTCACGACCTGAACACCGCGGTAGCGGCCGCTGCTCCTGAGGGCTCGCGTCAGGGACGGAGAGGCATCGAGCACGGCCAGCGCCCTGCCGTGCTCCACGTCCTGCAGCAGGGCTTGGGCCAGCAGGCCGTCGTACAAGGCGACCATGGCCTGCTCCATAGCTGTCTCGACAGCTGTATCGGCGGCCCCCTCGGAATGCTGGATAGGCATGGTCCACGCCCTGTCAACCTCGACGACGGAGGCCTGGGAGTCCGAGACGGCTACGAGCGGGCTCGTCCCATTCTCGGCGAAACCCGCGACGACAAAGAGATAATTCGTCGCCAGCACTCTCACCGCCCTAAGAATCGACTTGGCTACACGGATCTTGACCGTGTCGAGCCGCGTACCAGCAGCTAGGCGACCGGATGGGGCAACAAGCGCATAGTCTTTGCCCGTGTCGTCCAGCGGCTGCAGGGCCAAGGGCGACGCTATGGGATCGACCTCCTTGGTCACTGGCCGGCGGGACGAGTTGTAGCGCGCGTTGCGCTCCTTGCTGACCTTGATACGGGGCATACGCAAGCGGCCCTCTTCGTACGCAAGATCCGGCTCTGTCGTCCATAGCAGCGGCCGCTTGTCTGCAGCCTGTTCCCACATATCTGAGAACTCGAAGCGGAGCACGCACTCGGCCAAGATTCGGGGGTCGGCGGCGGCCAGCGTCTCCAGGTCCAGGAACTGCAAGCGGAGGTGCGACATCTCAAGCACCACGTTGCGCCCGACGCCGTATACCATGGCCGAGTACGGGTCGTCTGCCTTGTACCCCGTCGTGACCCACAGCACGTTCTTGGACTGCTGGAACACCTGCTGGAATCCCCGAAGCCTCTCTGGGGTGATGCCCTTGAAGACGGGCGTGTCGAGCTCGACAAGAGACAGCACCGTACCCATGAGCGGCAGGTCTTGGGGCCCCAGCCCGACCAAGCTGCTGACGGTGCGAGATCGCCGGAAGTAAGGCGATAGCAGGGCCTCGACGTCGCGGGCGAGCTCGGCCGCGCGGCCCGTCTCGGCCCCGAGGATGGTTAAACTGTCAAGCTGCACCCCCTCCGATGACGGCTGCGCCGTGAGCGGCTGGCGCAGCAGCTCGACCCGGTCGTCGAGAGCTTGGGTTAGGATCACCGAGAGGGGGTTGTTCGGGTCGCGCACTGTCACCTCGTCGGCGCCCGAGAAGCCCGTGTTGCGCAGGATGCGGTCCCAGGTCGCCACCTCCACGCAGGGGCTCAGGCCACGGTCCTCCTCCTCGCCCAGCCACCAACCGGGAAGCCCACCAAAGATGAATCCGAACCGCAGCGGGTCGTTGTCGGTGATCTCCAGCAGCAACAGATAGCCGCCAGGCTTGACGAGTCGCCGTAGGTTGCGGACGGTGACTTGGAGGTCCTTAGTCGCGTGGACGACAAGGTTGGCGATGACTAGGTCAAAGGACTCCTCCTGGTAGCCTTGCTCGGCAATGTCCTTTTCGATGTCGAGGGTTTTGAAGGTCATCTTATCCGTGTAAGCCTCGAACGTCTCGCGTGCCGAAGGGAAAAAGCCGCTCGAAATATCCGTGTAGGCATACGACTCGAACCCGCCCTCAAGGTGCCGTAGCAAGACCTTGGTAGCACCGCCCGTACCCGCGCCAACCTCCAACACGTGCATCTGAGGATAGCGGTGGCTTATTTGCGCTGCCATCCGGGAGAGTTCCTCAAGGTACCGCGACATGCCCAACGCCTCGATATAAAAGCGGTTGAGCTTGTTGTCCTGCATCATGGGCTCCAGCATGTTCATCTCGCCACGGATGACGCTGGCGAGATTCTCACCGACAGCGTGCATGAGCTCCAGGTCGATGCTGTCGGGACGGTCGGCAATGACGCGCAGGATCTGCTCGTGCGTATCGTTCTTCCATCCCGGCCGTGCGTGGGGGCAGCGAACCCGTTTCGACCCGACCCAAGACGTATTCGACGTACCGGAAGAGCGCAGTCTGGTGGGCCGGCAGATCCACGCGTTGCTCCGGTGGGATGGCGGCGTCAAGCCGGCGCAGATAGAAGTAAGCAACACGCTCGAGGTCGTTAAACAGGTCCCGTTCCGCCTCGGCCTCGGCTCCCCGGAGCGTGAGATCGCGCCCGTGTGGGCTCAACGGGCCCCACACCCACTCGGTGAAGAGTGGAAGGTCGGTGCTAGGGGTGGGGGGGACCAGCGGCTTGGTGTGCAAGCCTTGTAGCTGGATCAGCGTCGAGCCGTTCTCATCGTACAGGTCCACGTCCCCATTAATGTCGCTCAGCTCCACGCCACCGCCAGACGGGACCGAAGAACGGAAAGGAGTCTGGGCACTGCGGTCGGCCTCACACAAGGGTATGTTGACCCGGAGGCTGTCGATTCTCGTAGGCAGATGGGTGGTACGGAGGCGGGTGTCGCCGGGGAAGCAATAAGCCAAGATGATGGACTGCACTGCCGCGTCGAGGGCGGCCGGGTGCACGAGAAGGCGGCCAAAGCCTTCTGTCGGCTCCGGTTGGACTACGGAGCCAGTAGCGTAGTCCATCTTTCGAGAGAGCCCGCTAAGTGCCCGGAAAGGTCCTGTATAGCCGAACCCAAGACTGCCAACCGCGTCGTAAAATCGTTCGGCGGGTACGTCCAGCATGTGGTAGTCCCGGCCCGGCTCGGGACGCGGTGGTAGGGCATCAGGGTCGGGTTCCCCGAGCGAGATGATTAGGTTGGCCGACGCCTTTTCCGCCATGGAGACCGAGTCGGCCCTGCCCTCGTCGGCGAAAAAGGTGAATCTGGCTGTGATCTTGTCGGCGCCTCGGACGATGTTCGTCACCGACACCAACGTCTCCACGCTTCCCGGCTCCGGGATGATCAGGGCTTGCCCGATGAAGATGTCCTGCATGTTGACGAGCAGCAGTGGCTCGTTGCCCAAGAGCTCTCGTACGGCCTCCAATCCAGTTGCGATGTAGCCCGCACCGGGGAAAATGGCCTGGTTCTGGACTCGGTGATCCCTGAGCCACGGGACCTCGTTCGCACTCAAACGGTTGCGCCAGCGCGCCTCGCTCGGGCTGTTGTCCATGATCCGCGTGCCGAGAAGCTCATTTGGCTTGATCGATGACGTCCTCAGCGCCTTCAGCAAGCGCGAGTCGTGATAATACGCCGTCTGGTGATCCCATTGGTACCGAGGAAGCTCGTCGGCGAGTACCTGATGAACACGTCCGCCCGACAGGAACGCCTCGTACTTGGCCAAGTCGACCGAGGCGCGCCCGTTTGCCGCCCACAATGCGCCCAGGCTTTCCGCTAGCGCCTCGGTGGCATCGCGCTGACGTAGGAGGGTACCAACGTAGGGGATTTTCTCGCGCGTTGTTTCCTCGATCACCTGCATCGCCGGCCCCTTGAGGGCAGGGTGGGCACCTAGCTCGACGACCTGGTCGAACGGGCCTCGTTCGCGGAGCGCCGTCTCGAGAGCCTGGGAGAATAGGACCGTCTGCCCCATGTTCTTGGCCCAGTACTCAGACCCGATGTCGTCTTGGACGTCGGCAATATCCGTGGCGTACACACTGGAAATCCATACACATCCCGAGCCGGAACCGTTCTGCGGCGTCGGCGATATGTTGCAGGCACCACGAAGCGACTCCACGTACGGTCCCAGGCACGGCACCATATGGTGCGAGTGATACGCCTTGTCGACCCGCAGGGCCCGATGGAACTTATTTTCTTCCTCACAGACCACGGCGGCCTCTGCTACGGCGTCGGCATCGCCGGAGAGTGTGATGCTCGACGACGAGTTGCTCGCCGCAACAGAGAGGCGTCCCTTGAAGGCGTCTAACGCACAAAGCTCTTGGGCATCCTCAAACGATGTCCCGACAGCCATCATAGCGCCGGATTGCCCGCCGGCGCCGCCGCATCTGTGGGTGTGGAAACCTCGGTAGTAGGCAATCCGCATGGCCTCGGACGCCGTGACGACGCCGGCCGCATACGCCGCGGCAATCTCGCCGGACGAGTGGCCGACAACAGCGTCAAAGACCACGCCAGCCTCGCGCAGCACATCCACTAGGATGATCTGCAGGGCCGTGCAAAGGGGCTGGGAGAACTCGGCCTTGCCGATCTGGGACGACGCGGCCGGTGCTAGCATTTCTGCTCGTAGCGACCATGAAGGGCGGTCTTGCTGGGGCAGCGTGGCCAAGCTCGCCTCGAGCTCGTCGACGATCCTGGACACGGCTTCGGACCTCTCGATCAGCTCCGCGCCCATCCGCGGCCACTGTGCACCCTGGCCCGTAAAGACGCCCAGGGTCCGTGGCCGGGACGACAGGGACCGCCCGAGCGGAGCCGCAGCGTCCGATTTGGCCTTGTCTTCGGCCGCGTGGCCTCGAAGCCGAGCTACCAGGTCACTCCGTGATGCCGCGGCAAAGACGGCACGCTTTGCGAGTGCCGATCGATGGCTGTGCAGAGTGTGTGCAATGTCGCCGAGGTTCACATCGCTCGCCTTCTCGACGAAGTCAGCGTGGGCCGCGATGTTCGCCGCCAGGGCCGTGTCGGAGGCGGCCGAGAACAGCAGGGGTGCAAATGAGAAGGGTGACGGGGCGGTCAGCAGTTCCTTGGCCGTCGCGGGCGTATATGCCTCGAGGATTGCGTGAGCATTCTGGAGCCTTTGTTAGAACTTTGGCATCATTTACAACACAACTCGATGTTCGAGGGTTCTGAAAGGAAGGGAGGTGGTTCTTAATCTCAGGGGGAACTTACCGCGCCGCCAAAGCCAAAGCTGTTTACGGAAGCACGCCTCACACCTCCTTCAGGCACCTCTGGCCAGTCCAGGAGTGACGTTGGAATCTGCAAGTTCTGGTAGTGTGGTTTAACGGAAGGGCTAAGTCGGTTAAAGTGGAGGTTTGGCGGCACCTTGCCGTTTTGTAGGGCAAGTGAGACCTTTATCAGCGAGGCCAGGCCGGCTGTGCCTTCGGTGTGGCCGAGGACCGTCTTGATGGATCCGACCAGGAGTTTTGCGTCGCCCGGCTGGCGCTTAAACCGCGAGTCCGGGCCGAAGAAGGCGGTGCTGATGGCCTCAGACTCGACGGGGTCGCCCGCCGGTGTTCCCGTGCCGTGTGCCTCAAAATATTGGGGCCGGTCGGCCGGGCGGCTCAGGTCGAGCCCAGCCCGTTGATATGTCTCGCGGATCAGGGCGCTTTGAGCGATGGGGCTTGGCATAGTGATACCTATATTGAGTTTTATTAGCTTCTATATCTCATCAAAGTTTCCTCTGTCCGCACTCTTAACATGGTATCTATCTATTAGGGGTTGGAGGCGGTGAGTTGGTCCTAGCTTACCTTGCGTTCTCCCGTCCTGATTCGATCCTGTCTCCCTGATGATGCACTCGATGCGGTCGCCATCCCTGATGGCATCTTTCAAAGGTTTAAGCACAACCGAGGCAAATCCATCACCACGTGCGTAGCCGTCGGCCTCCTCGTCCCACATTCTTGAGAGCCCTCCCGGGGACAGCATCTTGAGTTTGCTCTCTGCCACATACTGCGAGGGACCCAGCAGCAGGTTGGCACCGGCAGCAATGGCGAGAGGAACCTCCCCGTTTCGTAGGCTCTGCACCGCTTGGTGGACGGCGATCAGGCTCGATGAGCAGGCCGTATCAATGGTGATTGAGGGCCCATGCCAGTCGAAGAAGTACGAGATCCTGTTAGAGAGAATGCTGCGCGCTGTACCGGGCGCGAAGTATGTAGGGAAGGTGTCAATATCCTGGACTAGGATCT